ACTAGCCAAGTCAAGCCCACAATGATACAGGAAATCGGGTACCTTTACTATAAACAGTGTCAGAGTCTCCAATGATGTGTTCAAAAGGAATGAGACCATGACTGAAGTCATAAACATTCAGGCCTAGTATCTGTCTATGACGACAATATAATCTCTGTATTGGACAATATGAACTGTATTGGATATATTTTTATTTTATTGGCCAAGGTCAGACCTCAGCTTGTAAAGCAAAGGGAGAGAGAAAAACATTTCCTGTTTATGACAAGGGTAGAAATAACAAGGACTCTGTGGGTCTCAGTTCATAAGGACCCAGTCATGACCTGCTCTGAAGACCAGACTTTTCAGCTCTGGGCTCTGTGTTTTTAATTCGGAGAATTACTTGGTTTGGGCTTTTGCTTGTTTGCTTGCTTGCTTGCTTTGGAGTTTTTTTGTTGTTGTTTTGGTTTTTGAAGACTGAGTTTCTCTATATAACCCTAGTTGTCCTGGAATTTGCATCAAATTCAGAGATTTCCCCCTGCCTCTGCTCCTGAATACGGGATTTAAAGGCCTGTGCCCCCACAGCTGGGCTTGATTTTGTTTTTGGACACAGGGTCACACTGTGTAGCCCTGGCTGGCCTGGAACTTGCTATGTAGACCAGGCAGGCTTTGAATTTACAGAGCTCAGTCTGCCTCTGAAGTGCCTGTCCAAGGTGTCAGCTGGTGAGAGGTCTCTCAGCCTCCCCTCTCAAGTTCCCACCATTTCCTGTCTTTCTGCCCTGCCTCAGCACTGCAATTGTACAGCTGGTAGGGGAGGACTCTGTTTAACACTACTGACCTCCACTCTCAACAATGACATATTTAAAACCAGGCAGTCTTTAATCCCAGCACTGGGGAGGCAAGAGTTAGGGGGAGCTCTGAGAGTCAGAGGCCAGTCTGGTCTACATAGCTAGTTCCAGGACAGCCAGGACTACACAGAGAAATCCTGTCTTGGAAAACAGAAAACAAAACAAAAAACAAAACCAAGTAATTCTCCAAATATTCCCCGCGAACAGCACAAGGTGGACCACGGGCTGGATCCTGTGTGAGTTGAGGCAAATTGCAGCCTTCCTATGTTTGTTCATAACCAGGAAGCAGAACACAGCACCCTGTTTTTCTCTTGCTCTACAAGCTGAGGCTTGCCCTTGGTCTTGGTAACCTCGTCTAGTTACACAACGCATGACAAAACAGACTTCTGGCTCCACACTTCCTTTTGAGGAGAAAAACACCAGCTGACCCTTGTTCTGAGTCCCAGTCCCTTTTCCTGAACCCAGTCACACACCAGGTGTGACCTTCAGATCAGGCTGACCCAGCAGCAGCCACCAGCCCCATCCCCCATCAGGAAGCTTGGGGCCTAGCCCTGCCCTGCTCAGCCCATCCCACGCAGGTGTCCTCTGCCAATCCCTCCCTGTTGCCAGGCCCCTTGCTCTGTCCTCATTGGTGCCAGCTTTGAAGCTGTCATCCCTGGTAGCCTGCAAAGGACGGATCCGTGTGTGGAACGAACTGCAAACGGAATCCAGTGAGTCACAGGACTTCTAGCACCTTCGAGCACTTCCTATTCTAGGTCAGGAGGTTTGGGATTTTAGGGCTGTGACTTAATACCTAAGTCCCGAGGCCAAGTAGGACATGAAGACATTAGAATCCCTTTCAGAAAATAGACCGGCGACTGTGATAATCTGTCCCCAAGGTCTGTGTAGGGGACATCTGGGGACACAGGATTCCATGTGGGTGGCAGTGCCTGTCACTGTGACTTGTCTATGAGTGTCTCTGGCCTCTGTGACTGGTATTACCCTCTCCTTTCCCATCAGGGTTGTGACAGCTTTGCAGGAGGGCTCGCTCCTGGCTGGGACGCTGTGTTGGGTTATAGCAGCCAGCTCTGAAGTGAGACCATTTCCTTCCTCCCGTCCTACTTGCCCTGTGCCCTTGAGGATCAGGTCACCTCTGTGGTGAGAACACAGTGCTGATGGGTTATTAAAAATAAAAACAAAATAAAAAAGTTTGGATGTGAAGTTAAGAAGGGGACTGGGCAGGGGTGTCCAGAAAGGAGTTGAAGGGAGGAAATGGGAGAGGAGGTGATAAAAAATACAATGTATGTATGTAAGTAATTCTCAAAGATTATTTGAAAATGTCTATTTTAAAGTGGGAGGCTGGAGCTGGGCGTGGTGGCTCACACAGACTTTTATCCCAGCACTTGGGGAGGGGCAGAGGCTGGTAGATCTCCGTGGGAGTTCTAGGCCAGCCTGGTCATCAAGGTGAGTTCCAGGAGAGCCAGGGCTACACAGGGAAGCCCTGTCTCAAAATAAAATCTAAATAAATAAGTAAATAATAAAAATACATAATGAGTTTCAATATTGTTTCATACCTTAATATAATGCATTTTGGTCATGTTTGTTGGAAATAACATAAGAATCTTATTTACCCCCACTGTTATCTTCCCCCAAACCCTCTGAACATTCTTTCCTTTCCAAGCTAACCCTTGGCCGGGTCCAACTCTCCAGCCTTCCTCCTCTTCTCCCTCCCCCACCTCTGAAATCAAGGCTGTTTGGCTCTGAAGTTTCTAGACTTTGGAAAATGCTGATGCCATAAAGCTGATGACTCAGCCAAGAAACAGGAATCACGAGGCAGAAGCAGAGTGACAGCCAAATATAGCATGGGTGTATCTGGAAGCCAGAATTGCTTTAGAATCAGCCTCGGTGTTTTTGTCCCTTCTAAACTTATGTCTGAAATCTAGAAAGAATTGGCCTGCACAGAAATCTGTCTCAGAAACCACCAGGGTGTCTTAGGGAATGACATTTTAATTTCTCAGTGGTATATGACTTCATTCATGGAAAATCACAGAAATTAAAGTCTGTTTTTAACAATACTTCTGATCTTAAATTATTATGAATTCCTAAACCTGGGGAACCAAACACACCTGAAATCTCAGCACCTGGGTGGTAGAGGCAGGAGGTTCCCTGTAATTTAGAGCTCAGCCTGGTCTACAGTGTGAGTTCCAGGGTAACCAGGGCTGTGAATGGAGTCCCTGTCTCCAAAACAACAAAACCCTCAGAAAAATGCTGGGATTAAAGGCACGTGCCACCACCGGGCGTCTGTGGCACACTCCTTTAATCCTAGCACTTGGGAAGCAGAGGCAGGCAGATCTCTTTGAGATGGAGGTCAGCCTGGTCTACAGAGTGAGTTCCAGGACAGCCTCCCAAGCTACAAGGAGAAACCCTGTCTGGAAAAAAACAAAACAAAACAAAACAAAAAAACAGGCATGCACCACCATTCCCAGCAAAGATTTAGTGTGTGTATCTCTATTTGACCCCCTGAAGCTGGAGTTACACATAGGCCATTATGAATTACTTGCCATGGCTGCTGGGAATTGAACTCAGGTCTTCTGGAAGTTATACCTGCTCTTATTGCTGAGCCATCTCTCTGGAGACCCCAGGGATGATGATAATGATTATTATCTTTTTTTTTTTTTTAGAGACTGTTTTTTTTGTTGTTTTTTGAGACAGGGTTTCTCTGTATTGCTTTGGAGCCTGTCCTGGAACTGGCTCTGTAGACCCAGTTGAACTCACAGAGATCTGTCTGCCTTTGCTTCCCAAGTGCTACAATTAAAGGTGTGTGCCACCAACGCCTGGCGAGACAGGGTTTCTCTGTATAGCCTGGCTGACCTGAAACTTACTCTCTATATGAAGACCAGGCTTGCCTGGAATTTGGACATCCTCCTGCTTCTGTGGATTTATATCTTATTTAATGAATTAAAGGTTTGGGGGATGGATGTAGCTTAATGGAAAATGACTGGAGTTTTCAATTAAAAATCTGGGGCTTAGCTGAGCAGTGATGGTACCCACTTTTAATCCCAGTACTAGGGAGACAAAGGAGGATCTCTGTGAACTCGAGGCTGGCCTGGTCTACAAAGTGAGTTCCAGGACACCAGATTTACACAGAGAAATCCTGTCTCACAACAACAACAACAAAATCTGGGGCTTAGGCTTGATGTGGTAGCACACATCTTGATCCCAGCACTTGGATGGCAGAGGCCTGCCTGGTCTACATAGCTTGCTCCAGGCAGCTAGAGCTACAGAGTGAGAGCCTGTCTCAACAACAACAAAAACAAAATAAGAAAATCTAGGGCTTCAAAGGTTTCAATCTCTTAGGTAGGCTAAATATTAACAAGATGTTGAAAATTTGACCTTTCCTTGGTGGCAACCAGAACCTTCTGGAATCCAAGGATACCAAGTGTAAACAGGCTCAAGAACAGCCTGGAAAGATCTAGTTCCGAGGGGCTTCGTTCAGGTCTAATGCTAAGGGTTTTCAAGAGCTGTGTGGATTTTTCTGCCTATAGCGAATTCAGATTCATTGTCCAAAATCGGGAAGAGATTCCTCCACTTTATAATTTTTTTTTTTTTAATGTATTAACCTTTTTTATTCGTTCCCCTTGTTTTGAGATTTGCAGAGTCATCCATCCTGTCACAGTGCCAGGAAGCTGACAGCTGAGCTCAGGGACCAGCCAGGGCTGAAGGGGCTGAGGAGGCGAGGCCTCCAAAGGGCCCCCAGTGTGACACGAACTAAAGCCCTAGATGCCTAGAGCACGCAGAGGCCACAGGGACCCCCAAGCCGGGAAAGCGGGTGGGTGTCTTGGGCGCGAGGCCGCACTGCGCATGCGCCGAGCTCCGCTCCGGCCGCGCTGATCCGATCCGGGTTCTCGCGCCGACCACGTAGCGATTGACTCGTCACACACACTGATCCCTCCGCGGGGCCGCACAAGGTCGCAGCCCTTCCCCGCCACACAAAGCCCCCCACTGTCTGGGCGCCACACACGAACACTCCATGAGGTGACCTTGTTAGCTGTAGTCAGGAGCTTCCGCTGCGGAGACAGGAACGGCCCGGAAAGTAGTCCCTGGCCGCATTTCCGCGGAGGGATCGCGGGGAGGGCGGGGCTTCCGAGGATTATATAAAGCGACGCCGGGGCGGGCCGCAGCTAGTTCCGTCGAGAACGCCTGTATCGTCTCTGCGTCTTTGTGAGGACTGCTGCCGCCACCGCTGGTGAGGGGGAAAGCCGCCGCGTCTGGCGGGGCTGAGAGGCCGGGAGGGGTCGGGGGAGGGTGACCCAGACACGAGGGCCCAGCCCGCGGCCTGGACGTTCCGTTCCCGCGGCCCGCGAGGAGGGCGACTGTCCTGAGGCGGAGGACCCGGCGGCAAGATGGCGGCCGAGTGGAAGCCTGAGGGGGAAGAGGAGCGGCCCTGAGGCGCTCGACGAGGTTGGGGGAAGCAGGCCCGCGAGGCCGCTGCGGCTTCTCACAAGCCGGGAACTTGCGGCTAACCCGCTTTTGGCTTTGTTTTGGGGTTTTTATTTGACGGGCTGAGGGCCGTGGATGCCTCTGATGTGAGAGCCGTGTGCGTGTGACTGTCCGGAGAGGTCGGTCGGTCGGTCGGGTTTCCATCTGTTACTAAAGACGGAAGTGTGACCGAGGCATGCGGAAGGCGGCGGGGGTGGGGTGGGGAGGTCGGTTGGTGGCGGTTGAACCTGGCCTACGGCGCACATGACGTCGCGGCTTCTATGGGCTCATAATGGGTGGCGAGGCTATTTCCCTGACTATATAGCTCTGCCTCACTGGTAGGACAGGGGTAGGGCCTCGGCCTCGGGGTAGCCTCTTCACAGTGAACAGAGGAACCGGATATCCACAGAGGGGGATAAGTGAGCCTACATTGAGTTTCATTCCTTGACGCCCCCTCCCCCCATTTTCCGTGTAGAGACTCTCGCTCATGGCTGGCCTGGAACTCTAAACCAGAGCCGCGGCCTATGCGGCCCCACATAAGAAGATTCAAGGTGTCTGCCACCACTCCAGACTTTGTTATAGTCTGGGGTTTCTGCAAGTTCATTCTTGGTGTTGAGTTTTGACCTACTTGAGTTAGTGATAGGATCTCACTGTCCTACCTAATGGAGATCTGCCTGTCCCATGTCTCCTCAGTGCTCAGAATAAAGGAGTGCACTGGCTTGAACTCCCAATTTTTTTTTTTAAAGGAAGTCAGTAGTCCTTGCTGGTTATCAAAGAGCAGATCCGGTCTGATTTCCTGCCTATTTGGTATAGATTCTCTCAATGACGTAAGGTGTCAATGTAGACCAGGCTTTCTGCTCACTATGCAGATAGCCAGTAAATCACTTTCAGACATTGGTACTGCAGTTTCCACCCACCAAATTGATAATATAGACCAGGTACACCATACTTAAGTGGCTTTCCTTTTGGTTTGTATTTTGAGACACCTTTTTCTGTGTAGCCCTGCATGTTCTAGAAGACAAGGCTGATCTTAATCTCACAAATTACCCATACCTCACCAGTCCTGAGATTAAAGGCATCCTCCAATACCACTCAATAATCTCCTATTTGAAATATAATTTTATGATTTTTATTTTTGGATTTAGAAAATAATCTTCAGACAGGATCTGTATAGCTGGATTAAATATGTGAACTAAACTGCTATCCATTTCACAGAGATCAATGAACATTTATGTCATATCTGACCTGATTTTTTACTTTTTTGTGTGTGTATGTGCTTGTGTGTGACAGACAATGCAGATCTTCGTGAAAACCTTAACTGGTAAGACCATCACCCTGGAGGTCGAGCCCAGTGACACCATCGAGAATGTCAAGGCAAAGATCCAGGACAAGGAGGGCATCCCCCCTGACCAGCAGAGGCTGATCTTTGCTGGCAAGCAGCTGGAAGATGGCCGCACCCTGTCCGACTACAACATCCAGAAAGAGTCCACCCTGCACCTGGTCCTCCGCCTCAGGGGTGGGATGCAGATCTTTGTGAAGACCCTGACAGGCAAGACCATCACCTTGGAGGTCGAGCCCAGTGACACCATCGAGAATGTCAAGGCAAAGATCCAGGACAAGGAGGGCATCCCCCCTGACCAGCAGAGGCTGATCTTTGCTGGCAAGCAGCTGGAAGATGGCCGCACCCTGTCTGACTACAACATCCAGAAAGAGTCCACCCTGCACCTGGTCCTCCGCCTCAGGGGTGGGATGCAGATCTTTGTGAAGACCCTGACAGGCAAGACCATCACCCTGGAGGTCGAGCCCAGTGACACCATCGAGAATGTCAAGGCAAAGATCCAGGACAAGGAGGGCATCCCCCCTGACCAGCAGAGGCTGATCTTTGCTGGCAAGCAGCTGGAAGATGGCCGCACCCTGTCCGACTACAACATCCAGAAAGAGTCCACCCTGCACCTGGTCCTCCGCCTCAGGGGTGGGATGCAGATCTTTGTGAAGACCCTGACAGGCAAGACCATCACCCTGGAGGTCGAGCCCAGTGACACCATCGAGAATGTCAAGGCAAAGATCCAGGACAAGGAGGGCATCCCCCCTGACCAGCAGAGGCTGATCTTTGCTGGCAAGCAGCTGGAAGATGGCCGCACCCTGTCCGACTACAACATCCAGAAAGAGTCCACCCTGCACCTGGTCCTCCGCCTCAGGGGTGGGATGCAGATCTTTGTGAAGACCCTGACAGGCAAGACCATCACCCTGGAGGTCGAGCCCAGTGACACCATCGAGAATGTCAAGGCAAAGATCCAGGACAAGGAGGGCATCCCCCCTGACCAGCAGAGGCTGATCTTTGCTGGCAAGCAGCTGGAAGATGGCCGCACCCTGTCTGACTACAACATCCAGAAAGAGTCCACCCTGCACCTGGTCCTCCGCCTCAGGGGTGGGATGCAGATCTTTGTGAAGACCCTGACAGGCAAGACCATCACCTTGGAGGTCGAGCCCAGTGACACCATCGAGAATGTCAAGGCAAAGATCCAGGACAAGGAGGGCATCCCCCCTGACCAGCAGAGGCTGATCTTTGCTGGCAAGCAGCTGGAAGATGGCCGCACCCTGTCCGACTACAACATCCAGAAAGAGTCCACCCTGCACCTGGTCCTCCGCCTCAGGGGTGGGATGCAGATCTTTGTGAAGACCCTGACAGGCAAGACCATCACCTTGGAGGTCGAGCCCAGTGACACCATCGAGAATGTCAAGGCAAAGATCCAGGACAAGGAGGGCATCCCCCCTGACCAGCAGAGGCTGATCTTTGCTGGCAAGCAGCTGGAAGATGGCCGCACCCTGTCCGACTACAACATCCAGAAAGAGTCCACCCTGCACCTGGTCCTCCGCCTCAGGGGTGGGATGCAGATCTTTGTGAAGACCCTGACAGGCAAGACCATCACCTTGGAGGTCGAGCCCAGTGACACCATCGAGAATGTCAAGGCAAAGATCCAGGACAAGGAGGGCATCCCCCCTGACCAGCAGAGGCTGATCTTTGCTGGCAAGCAGCTGGAAGATGGCCGCACCCTGTCTGACTACAACATCCAGAAAGAGTCCACCCTGCACCTGGTCCTCCGCCTCAGGGGTGGGATGCAGATCTTTGTGAAGACCCTGACAGGCAAGACCATCACCTTGGAGGTCGAGCCCAGTGACACCATCGAGAATGTCAAGGCAAAGATCCAGGACAAGGAGGGCATCCCCCCTGACCAGCAGAGGCTGATCTTTGCTGGCAAGCAGCTGGAAGATGGCCGCACCCTGTCTGACTACAACATCCAGAAAGAGTCCACCCTGCACCTGGTCCTCCGCCTCAGGGGTGGGATGCAGATCTTTGTGAAGACCCTGACAGGCAAGACCATCACCCTGGAGGTCGAGCCCAGTGACACCATCGAGAATGTCAAGGCAAAGATCCAGGACAAGGAGGGCATCCCCCCTGACCAGCAGAGGCTGATCTTTGCTGGCAAGCAGCTGGAAGATGGCCGCACCCTGTCCGACTACAACATCCAGAAAGAGTCCACCCTGCACCTGGTCCTCCGCCTCAGGGGTGGGATGCAGATCTTTGTGAAGACCCTGACAGGCAAGACCATCACCCTGGAGGTCGAGCCCAGTGACACCATCGAGAATGTCAAGGCAAAGATCCAGGACAAGGAGGGCATCCCCCCTGACCAGCAGAGGCTGATCTTTGCTGGCAAGCAGCTGGAAGATGGCCGCACCCTGTCCGACTACAACATCCAGAAAGAGTCCACCCTGCACCTGGTCCTCCGCCTCAGGGGTGGGATGCAGATCTTTGTGAAGACCCTGACAGGCAAGACCATCACCCTGGAGGTCGAGCCCAGTGACACCATCGAGAATGTCAAGGCAAAGATCCAGGACAAGGAGGGCATCCCCCTGACCAGCAGAGGCTGATCTTTGCTGGCAAGCAGCTGGAAGATGGCCGCACCCTGTCTGACTACAACATCCAGAAAGAGTCCACCCTGCACCTGGTCCTCCGCCTCAGGGGTGGGATGCAGATCTTTGTGAAGACCCTGACAGGCAAGACCATCACCTTGGAGGTCGAGCCCAGTGACACCATCGAGAATGTCAAGGCAAAGATCCAGGACAAGGAGGGCATCCCCCCTGACCAGCAGAGGCTGATCTTTGCTGGCAAGCAGCTGGAAGATGGCCGCACCCTGTCCGACTACAACATCCAGAAAGAGTCCACCCTGCACCTGGTCCTCCGCCTCAGGGGTGGGATGCAGATCTTTGTGAAGACCCTGACAGGCAAGACCATCACCCTGGAGGTTGAGCCCAGTAACACCACCAAGAAAGTCAAACAGGAAGATGGACGCACCTTTCTCACTACAGTGTCTAGAAAGAGCACACCTTGTGCTTGTTCTTGGGCTTGAGGGGGGGAGGTGTCGTAGTTTCCCCCATCTTTTAACCTGTTAACAAGTTTCATTGCACTTTGAATAAAGTTCTTGCATTCCCAAAGATGTCTGATATTTATTTGACTTTAGTTTGTTGGTTCCTGATACTGGAATGTGGAGGCTGTCAAGTTTGTGTCATCAGTCTGTTAATTATCAGGTAAGAATGTTGAAATTGGCTGTGTGGATTTGGGGGTATAAATGAGCTTAAAATTTAAAAGATATGTTACCAGTGTGTGGGTATATGAGTTTCTGTAGTTATGTGATTTGTGCCTTGTGCCCAGTAGTTCAGAAAAGGGTATTAAGAGTGATGAGCTGGTGTGTGTGTGTGTTTGTACACTGCACATAGTCCTCTACAAGAGGAACAAATATGCTTCTGAAACAGTTTCTCTTTAACAGCCATAGCTGTCCTAATAGCCTTGTAGACCAGGCTGGCCTCAAACTCACCCGAGTGCTGGTATTAAAGGCATGAGCTGCCTCCTGCCTGGCAGGAGGAACAAATTCTTATGAGCCATCTTTGTAGTCCTGTTTGGTGATATTATTAAAGATGTGAAAAGATTGCAAGTGTAGCTTTTTTTTTTTAAAGGTTTAAATTTCATTATGGAAAGTGTATAAATATGTATGGGTACTGAGGTAGTTATGTGTTAGATGCCCTTGAAGATGGAGTCATTGATACAACCTGATTTGGGTGTTCAAAACCAAATTCTGGCCCTAGGCTCAAGACTTGCTATGATTGAATCATCTCTCCAGCCAAGTAATTATCACTTCAATTAATTGCACTGAGGACATTAAGAATAGCTGGAGAGATGGCTCAGAGTTTAAGAGTACTCAATTGGCTGCTCTTCTAGAGATTCTGGTTCAATACCCAGCAACCACATGGTGGCTCAATCATTTATAATGAGATTTGGTGCCCTCTTCTGGCCTGTAGAACAGTGTACGTAAATTCTTTTTAAAAAGAAAGAATAGTGATAGCTGAAGTTGGTCATAGTGGCACTAACCTTTAATCCCAGCACTTGGGAGGCAGAGGCAGGCAGATCTGAGTTCCAGGCCAGCCAAGGCAGTGTGAAAAATTGCCTTCAAGTTTTGTGTGATTTCAGGTTTTAATGTAATTTGTAAGGAGTATTGTCCTGAATTTGCACAAGTGAGGTGGTAGGTGTGTTGTATGTTAGTGGGCCAGAAGAGATGGCTCAGAGGTTCCTCAGAGGGTCTATATTAGGTTCCTAGCCCCCACATATTGTGCCTCACTACAACTTGTATCTCCAAAGTGGTTCAATGCCTCTAGCTTTAGATGGGCCTCCCCTGAAGATGCATAGTTGAAAGTAAGTTAAAAACTGAAGCTGAAAAAATATTTTTTCCATAGGTCAAGCTTGGTCAATTGAGTACTTCTTGGTGTGGCTGGTATGCTTAATTTTTTGTTTTAAGGGAAAACCATTTCCAGTTACTGAGAAGGTGCAGGTGTTATTGTGGTTTGCTGGTAAAATAATGAAGTCTTGACATTTTCTTAAGATTTTAAATACAGCGATTTATATTTTCCCTTGAGCCTTTCTGATTTATGGGTTTTGCCAGTCAGAAGTAGATTTCTTATGGCCAAGGGTTTGATATACTGGAAATAAAACCTGCCTAAAGGACACAATCCTTCAGTTTGTAGACTGATTTTTTCAGAGATAGGGGGATCACTGTGAGTTCGAGACCAGCCTGGTCTACAAGAGTTTGTTCCAGGACAGCCTCCCAAATCACAGAAACCCTGTCTTGAAAAACCAAAAAAAAAAAAAAAAAAAATTTTTTTTTTTCAGAGTTGTTCCCCCTCCCCCCTTTACTTTTTGGTTTGATCTATTGTTTTCCTGTGTGAAAGGTTCTGGTGTCACATGAAGACAACCCTGGACTTTGGGAGAAATGCTCATAGCTTCCTTCTTTCCTTAATTATGGGTTAGAGCTGCTTGGTCAACATGATGCTGACGCATTATCATCTGATCCCCCCCCCCTTTTTTTTTTTTTTTTTTTTTTCTGTTTTTTGAGACAGTTTCTGTGTGGCTTTGGAACCTGTCCTGGAACTAGCTCTTGTAGACCAGGCTAGTCTTGAACTCAGAGATTCACCTTCCTCTGCCTCCTGGAATGCTGGGACTAAAAGCATGCCACACCCACACCCCAGTTTTGAGACAAGGTTTTTCAAAAGCACAGGGTGACCTGATATTGAGTATCCAGAATTACAATAAGCAGGATAGACACGTGGGATACATTTAACCCATTTTACTTTTTTAATGTTAAGGAACAGTGAAATAACCGAGCCTTAGCTGTCTTAGCCATGTAAGCACACATACTTCCATGAAGTTAAAAATAACACTTTTTTTTTTTTTTAATTCGAGTCCTAGCTGACAAGAACTCATGGTATACTAAAACCTAGCTTCAAATTTGCCATAATGTTCCTGCCTCAACATTACTGTCAGAATTACAAACTTCGGAGTTGGAGAAATGACTCTTCTTAAGCCCATTGGCTGCTTTTCCAGAGGACCAAGATTCAGTGTCCAGCATCAATCTGAAACTCTAGTTCTAGGGCATCAATAACCTCTTTAGGCCTCCAGGCAGCAGGCAGGCAAAACACCCTCACAAAGTTTTTCTTTTTAATTAAAAGCGTAATAGGTGGTGGCACATACCATTAATACCAGCAGAGTCTAAGGCCAGCCTGAGTTATACAGAGAAACACTCGAAATACAAAATGGTTGCCATGGAAAGCATAGTTAAAAACGTTTGTAGGTGTGTTCCTACACCTATGAAGATTATTTTTTCACTGTGTGATACCCAGGGCTCTTAACTTCCACAGGCCTAACAGCAAGCACTGGCCAACCTGTTTATTGCTGTGTTTGAATATGTGATACTTGGTGTTTCAAGTATTCAGTTTAGTACATAATGAAAACCCTGCTGTTTGCTTTTAGCCAGTGCCCCCACTCCAGTGTGTGTTCAGCTTCATGCATACACAGGATTGTATACACTCTCTAAGTACTTCAGAGCTCAATATCGTCAGATCTAACAGCTTTCATACCATGCAAAGGGGAAAAAAAACGAAGCTAGGGTCACACATTTGTCCAAATACAAACATGTCAGAAACATGTGAAGAGAATTGTTTTGCTTTTTAGGGTCCTATATGTGATGAGTAACAGAGTTTAAAGCAATCCATAGTTGGGCATCACATGCTTCACACTGGTACTACTATTGAGAGTTTGTTGACTGCTCTTCCAGAGGACCCTGGTTCAATTCCCATCACCCATGTGGCCTCTTACAACTGTCCCCTCCAGTTACAGGGGATCTGACATCCTCACAGACATACATGCACTAATTAATGTTCATAAAAATATTTTTTTAAGTTCACATTGGTTAAGAGCACTGACTGCTTTTCCAGATGTCATGAGTTCAATACCCAGCAACCATATGGTGGTTCACAATTATCTCTAATGGGATCTGATGCCCTCTTCTGACATAAAGGTGTAAAAAGGTATACAGGTGTGTATATTAAATCTGTTTTTAAAAAGTTCACTTACAGGGGTGAAGTTGAGTTAAAGTATGGCTTGAACAGTACATGGCTCCAGCAGGCCCATGCTTCCAGACTGGCAGTCCTGGTAAGCAATGCTCATTTCTCCCTAAAGGGGGCACTACTGGGCCACAAGCAGTTGACAAAGCAGTTGCTCTCCAGCCCTTAGCCTAGGGTCCTACCACAGCTGAATTACATCACACCTCTGGCTGGATTACACACAGCAGGTAAGAGTTCTCAAAATTAACCATTTCTCCCCTAATCTGCCCATGTTCTGCATGGCCTCCCATTCTCCACCCAAGTTGTTCCTCTTCCTAAAGTCATCCCTCCCACATATAGGTTTCCTCCTTCCCCACAAGATGTCCCTTGTAACCCAGGATGGTATTGGACCTCCTCATGCCTCAGTGTTGTGCGGGACTGCCTTCCAAACCACACTGCCACCTTCATCAAATCAGTTGTGCCAGTTTGCAAAATTATTTCAGCTGGGCTTGTGTTAAAGAATGTTGCTTTATAGGAGGGGCAGAGATGGTCATGAGACCATCTAAAAAATCCAGCCATGCCTCCCAACCAGCTGACGGAAATTCTGTTCTAACTGCATGTGGCCTCCAGGAGGGGCTAAATAGGAAAGGACTAGGAGAGGCAGGCTTCATCTACATAGCCACATCAAAGTCATTCATCCATGCTTTCCAGTGTGGCTGCTTTGTGGGGTTATCCACACTCCTGCTCTCAATCCCTTACACATGCTCTGTAAGTAAGTTCAATAAACTCATTAGCTTTTCTGGGTGAACTTTGGTGGACTCAAACCTCCATTTGTCCTTGGGATCTCAGGAGGAGGGACAAATCCTCAGGGATGGAATTTTAGCAACACTGAATCTTTCAAAGTGATGAGATAAGAGTCCTTTATTTAGTGGCTTAACATTATTTGGCAGTCACCCAAGGTGACTGGTAGCTGGAGAACTAGGTTCAGGTGCTAAAGGAAAGAGTTCAGGCTAGAGGGGCTCAGAGAGGGAGACAACAGGATGGAACAGGAACAGGGTAGTGGGAGAAAGCCTGGGTGCCTCCAGTAGGTGGGTGCCTGACTTTCATTAAGGGTCATTGGCTTTCTGCTTTAGTGCTTGGGATGGAAACCATGGCCATGTACAAGCTTAGCATGTGAAAATCCAGGGAATGGATTGATCCTGTAGCTAGCCCTGGAAACTCCCAGTGAGTGCCAAGCACCCTGGAGAAAGATGACCTGGTGAAAGACTGGGGCTCAAAGGGAAGAACTCTTGTAAAGACAGGAGGCACAGGGTTCCATCTCCAGCACAGCACATATGGGGCCTGGTGGTACAGGTCTGCAATTCCAGCGAGGGGTGGAGGCTGGAGGACTGCCTCATAGTGAGTTTGAGAGCAACCTAGACTACACCAGACACTGTATAGTTTTTGGGGGACCTTGTTTTTTCCATAGTATATGTAATTAACTTATTTTTCCCCAATAGGTTTTATTTTGTGGTTGTTCAAAGCTTTGTTGAACATCTGCTCAGAGGCTGTTCCAGTAGAGCACC